TTTTATTTTGTTTTTTTAGTAATTTTTATATGTTTTACTATAAATATATTATATTATTATATTTAATAACTTTTATATTTGTTTTATTTTGTTTTTTTAATTTCTTAATTAATTATCTATATGTTTTTTAGTTACTCAATCTAAGTAATTCGAGGGAATAGATGATAGTGATTAACTGATTATGGAGATGATGGATTAATGACGTAGCTATGCAGTCTATGTTTCCTGTCTTGAGACTTAGAATAAGTAGGTTTATAGAATTTTGGCCTTTGTAGTTTGAAATAACTCTGCCACTTCTAGTTGTTGACTATCACATGTTTCTTCATGCAGACAGTGAAGATCCAGTATCATTACATCATCCCCAGCACCCCATCCTTTAACCAACGAATTCAGTGATATGTTTGCCTTTGGTAATTGTGGTAAATGTTACCATGTGCCTGAAACTTCATGCGAAGACTTCTCTAATTTACCTTCATATCTCCCAGAGTCTTGAGCCAAAGCATTTCGAGTATAACATACGTACTCCCAAGTTCTAAGGGTAAGAAATTTGCCCTTATTTCACTCTCGACAACAATAGTTCGACATCTCGACACACTCTGTTGCCCTTAACCACTTGCCCAATTCCCACCCTTACTACAGAAGGTGTATTCGAAGTTGGTCCATCATCACTTTCGAAACGAAGTTGTGGAATGCCCCACAATCGATGAAAATGATTACTTCTTCTTGATTGATTTTCCCTTTAACCTTCATGGTTCGAGGGGACGACAATCCAATGACTAAGTTCAAGGACAATTCTACAACTTGTTCCTCTTCTCTCCCCTAGCAATCGTTATTGATGTTGATACTTTCCAGCTCCTACAATTCACCGTCCGTAGGTTCGTCTTAAACTAGTAACAACATTAATTCTTTGTTCTTACACTTATGCCCAGCCTTATATTTCTCATTACATTTAAAAACAGAGCCCCTTATGGTTTTCCCGTAATTCCGCCTCAGACAGTCTTCGGGCAGTATGGGAGGAGGTTTTAGTCGTGTATGAAGGTGTGGTTGTTGTTGCCTTGTTTGCAATAGTTGTGTAGTTATTAAGAGTTGTCTTAAATGAATTACCTGTAGCTCCCAAGGTTAGTTTGTACATACTATTGTGGCCTTGTATCCTCCAGCAACTTGAGTGTTATGATCTTCCACCAATTGAGCTATCTCAATTCTCATCAGGCCTTGGGGCCTCATCAATCTCATTTCTGCTTGAACTGTCGTCTTCAAACTGTTCACGAAGTTCCGTTCCAACACTTTCTCTGGTAAATCTAGCAAGGTTGCTGCAAGGATCTCGAATGAATGACGGTACTCCCTTATAGTACCCTCTTGCTTCAGCGCCGATAATTGTTCCCAACTTGATCCTCTAATTGTCAATCGGAATCAAGCAATCAACTAATTAACAATGGTTTCAGCTCCTCCCATCTTATCACACCACTGAAACCAAGCCAATGCCTCTCCTTCCATGCATATTCCTGCCGTCACCACCTTCTCAATTTCTTCAAATCATTGTAATGCAAAATACCTTTCTGCTCGAAACACCCGGCCATCTTGGATCGTCCCCCTTAAATACGGGTAACTCTACCCTTCTCAACCCCAATCACCGGCAAATAGCCCATTGGTGGTGGTTTTCGAGCCTCCACTTCCGCCACACAGTGTCGCTATTGGAATTGGTATTTCCAAACCCTCGTTGTGTTTCCGAACTCTCTCGATCCAGTAGTATGGACGGAATTGGTTGTTGATCCAGGATCCAACTGACTTTGCTTGTGGGCCGTCGATTCCAATTTCATCAATGCCTAAATTCTACGTTTCAAGCCATGCATACATTTCGAATCGCCAACATCTTGATTGCAAAATCATCTACATACTAAGCTTCATCTATTGCAGGTTTCTCTCCACCGATTCTAGCTTTTTTCCATTGTTTGCACTGTTTCTTCTAGGGAATCAATCCTCTTACTTTGGTTTTTGGGAACCATGGTAGATCGACACGGCTTGATACCAAAATGATAAGATCTCAACCGGAAACTGTATTAAATGTTCAAAATGAAAGGAATTACAAACTACTGGATTCGAGAGCCAGTTATCTCCCAAAACGTAATTGATAACTGAATTTTAACATACATCCTGATTGTGCTCCACCACACCTTTGTTATGTATTGGTCCCTCCACCTTCTTTCGAAAGTAATTCAAAACAATTGCTATATTGCCCTTATACTTTCTTCTCTCCTTTAGTTTTCTTTCTCGAGTATACCTTCACTAACGGAGGCTAATCATATACATCAGGTGGATGATATTTGAACAAGTTGGCAATGTTGAATGGTGGAGAGTACCAGCATGGCAGCATAGTCTATGAGTGGGGCCAACAAGAATGAAACGGTTGGCCTCTAAAAAATGTGACAACTAAGAAATACAGATAGTATCGATCACACCAATTCACAAGAGTAAGAAGGCCTTATTCGAGATTCAAAATAGATTTAATAACCATAGGAGAGATCAATGAAGCCCTTGTTCCTACCCAAAATCAAATGAGCAGAGTGAAGTTGTCAGGTAAAATTTTGTCGAGGCAATACAAAAATCGTGATCATTATAACCTGAAGAAAGTACTATGAAACAAAGGAATCAGGCAACTGGTAAGTTAACTTCATTACTTCTCATAATTTGTTTCTAGTCCTGTTTGCGCTCACAAAGGAGAAATATTCACCATCTATTTCAAGCACTTTGAGCATACCACCTTTATTGAACAAAGACAAGTGACAATGGCAAAGCATAATTTAACTCCTTCAGTTTAGAGCTAAGGTACATGCATCAATTGTCTCACTAAGACCATGAAAGAATGTGAAGCTTTCAGAGCACTTTTCCTTATATTTTACTTTCACGCAAGCCAATAATCTATATTATAATATAAGAGCGCCACACAAACAGAAGCTAAGTTCAAAATTTTATCACTCACCACCGGAGAACTATAAATTGGCTAGGAACCAACATCTTAAAATCATAGAATTGCATAGAACTAGCTCAATAGCCAGGATTTTACAAAGCCACGGTTCAATTCTTCATAGTGGACTAGTATATAAAATTATGCCAACTTAACCGGAGTTGTTTAATGCTCTAGACCTTATCCATATTTAAATGGAAATAAGAAAAGGGACTTAACAAAAGGTAAAGTGGTCCACTGTTCATCCCAGTATGTTAAAGGTGCGCTTGGTATCCAGACAGGATAGGACAGAACAGCACAGCTATTCAGCGGTTGGTAAGACAGAACTGGACAGGACAGATAAAAGGACCAATTTACCCCTAATTAGTTGTTTATATATTTTTATATATTTAGATTAATTTATGTAATTTATTAAATTATAATAAAACAAATATTTTTATAACAAAATATACCATTAGAATGTTTTGGTCGAGACGATTAAAAAATGCCACCAATATAAATAAAAAATTGTGTAGTTTCCAATTTTTATTTTAGACCTTTTCACATATTATATTTTATTACTAATATTTAATAAATTACATAAATTAATTAAAATATAAACATCGTATAAAAATTACATTTTGAGGACACTAAAATGAAAGTTCAAAGAGCATAAAATACAATAGATAAAATTTAAAGAATGAATAAAATGTAAAAGAGGGAGGCATATTGATGTTTTAGAAGAGAATTATGTTTTTATATTGAGGCTATATTGGTAACATATAGATCTGTTCCACCGTGTTCCATGGGTGGGGGTGGAATACGCTTGTTCCACTGTGTTCCACATAAAAGTCCTACCAAACATGGAACAACGATTTCTATTATATTATGTTATGTCCTATCCAGTGTACCAAAAGCACCCTGACTGAACACATTTGGGGGTTCATATATTTATTGAGAACGGAAAGCCCAGCCCATATTAAGACCCCCATAGTTCAGTTTAAGGAAGCTAAACTGCACAGCATCACAGGTTCACAGCCACAAGCAAAAAAGGATGGTTATGTGGTTTTCAAACTTATAGCAACCCAGGCACCTTTATCTTGGTACGCAAGCGGATCATTTCAAGAAACTGTGGCCAGGTAGATTTGAACTTCATGAGCTCATGCCTTCTAATTGCCACTTAAACATTATACTATATCCGTCACCATGACAAAATGCTGATGGGCAGAATTCTTTTTTAAGTTCTAGAGTTGTTCCAAGTTTCAAGTTATGCAAGATACCTTCTTTAGGAAGAACAATCTTTGTCTCTTAAAGCATGTGTCACATGGAGAGAGAGTAACGGCAGACTCTACCATTAAGACATGAGTTATGTGATGTCCATGATTCAAATTGTCACTAATTGAGGTGCATTTCATATTTAATGGTTCTTGGAATTTTTCTCTAGTGGGGTCACTCACATTTGCATAAGATATGAAAAGTTGTTCGCGAGCAGGTTTTCGTACCGGCCATACAAAAAAGATAGGAGGTCTAGCCGCCAATTAAAGTGAATTCGGCTGATTCAACCATTGCATCAGGCCTACATCCAGGGGTTGCAAACAGATTTTTTCAAGTAACAAGCATACACAGAGCCTTGCTATCTTTGTATGCATGTGGTTCTTGTAGGTTGAAGCCTCGACCATTTTTTGTTGTCCAGTTCTGGGTATGCCGTTGGCACTACTATATAACTTCCATTACTTGGCAAACAATGCCATTTGCACAAGAAGGGGGCGAAGAGAAGAAAAAAGAAAAGACACCATAAAGTACAACGCAACTAAAAAGAATCACAACAGCTAAGTAACCACCAATGGATACCGAAACCAAGAAAGTAACAGATTTAAGACAAGCAAGATAGGTGTCAAAATTACAGGAGGCACTTACTGATATCATCTTTGAGGCCATCCTTGTGTGTAACTTGACCAACTTCAATATTTTCCATCTCTAATGACACAGGTTGCTGCTTCCCATCAATTAATTTGGTGGCATTTTTTTGGCGCCTACTTCTTCTTCCTGTTTTCTGATCAGAAAGCAAAACACCATCTTCTGCAATCCCTCCATGAAATAAGGCTGCACAAGGGGAAATAACAATAGGTTACGGCCTAACTAGTACCACTGCTAAACATTACTTAAATACGTATGTTTATAATGATTGTAATCAATACCAGTCCTCCGTGGGGCTCCTTCTCTGTCCTTGTCAGACAAACCCTCAAGTTTGCTCAGAAGTCCATTACTCTGCTTCAGTGGTTCCTAGAAGAAAAAGTATCCAAGTCACCTTGTATTGAAGCAAATTCTTTTTACCTCAAAAGTTTAAGCATTCAAATGCTATCACAAGTCTTAGCTGCATCGAATATAAGAAGGCAGCATTAACATGCACCCACTCAACTCATATTTAACAACACAAGGATGCTCACCTGCCTAGGAGGTCTTAATTCATTGTCAGTATGATTATCAATGTTATGCTTCACATAGACTGCTGGAGTTTCTATTGGTACTTTCCTCATCGGTGTCACATCTGGATTATTTTTAAGTTGCTCTGCAAGATGTTTTTGTTTCGCCTCATTCTCAATCCGTCTTTGGTATTCCAAAGTTTCTTCAAGCTTTCTTTCCTCAGCTTCAAGCTCATTTTTTCTACGTCTCGCCTCATCTTTCAGCTGACTAAAAGCATCCTCAATTTCAGCAACAGTTTCTGACTGATGTCCATCAACAGCAAGTGGAGAAGAGATGCTGAGCAACAGGTATTGCAAAAACATCAAAACAAGGAGAATAAAAAGTAGCCCTATTTTCTGAACATCAAAGCATGTGAAGGAAGCACATACGCCTTTTCTGAATTCGCATGGGCTAATACATGTGCCTCACTATTGTTTGTAGCCTGCAAATATACAGGATTATTAGCACTGCACACAAGCATTCCAATCATATTCTAATAGAACATTAATGATACTCATTTATTTCAGACCTTAGAATCCTTTATCTTTCTGTACTCCCTGTTCTTTCTTTTGTCCTTAAGCTTATCATTAAATTGCTTTGAGTTATCTACAGTTCCTTTTTTAGAGTCTAGAGCAAGTTCTGCTAGGAAAGCTTCTCTGGCAGCATCTGATTTCTCTGTGGCATCTTTCTCTGCTAAATCTTCTAGGAGTGCCTAAAGGAAGAACAAAAAAGGGGATAAAATCTAATTTTAGGGGCATACATGGTAATAGTCAAAAGTAACTCATAAATGGTGTAGCAAGTTATATACGAACCCGCAAGAAAGACTTTACTAGAGGCACAACTATGAGTCCAAAATCATGCACAGATACAGGAGTGAGCTTAGCTTCCAACTGCTGCATTCCGGTTACAGTTCGCATGATTCTCGCATCAATTTTGCTGAGCTGCATCTCCAGAAAATGAGATGACAGTGGAGATACTGCACATAAGGTTTCTATACAAATTACATATCTCCATAATCAAACTAACCTCAATGGACAATTGTTCTTTCTGCTTCTGGATTGCAACTTCTATGCAAGAGTCCACTTGATGTAGATAGTCCTTCGCCCTCCAATCAACATCTTCACCAGATTCTAAGTCACATAGATGAGAATTCACACCGCTATACGTCTCCTCAAACCCAAACTGGTTAACATTCAAAGATTCAGCTTCTTTTAAAACATTTGCCAAGGCATCCACCTTGAACTTATTGACAGGTAGTGTACTATCATTTCCACGTCCTGTAAGCTCTTCATGTCGCTTCCTCAACACAAATTCATAACTTCGATGTGCAGATTCTGTGGCATGCTCCCTTTTCTTACCTTCTTTTAGACAGAGATCTTCCACTTGCTGCAAAGCTTCCTCATAGCTTGTATGCTCTAACTTTCTTTCACATAACCCATGGAGATGGCTAAATTCTTTTTCCAGCACCTGTAGAATCTCGATTCCTTGATGCACCCTCTCCTCTCTGGAGCGCATCCAGAATGTCAGCTGTTCCCCACTTGTGGGACCAGAAAATATCCATGACAATAAAGAATCAGCGTCATATTTTAACCCATTTTCAGAGCTAACACTAGTAACTGCAATTGCACCGGCTGCAGGAGTATCTTGACAAGTGTCTGCACTGATCTTGCAAGGAGGAAGACACAAGTCCAACAAGAGACATGATCCATCTTCATTAAAAACTATCTTCTCGGACATTTCAATAGCTAGGGTGGACCTATTCAACTCTTCCACAACATTACCTTTCTCTGAATACCTACTTAGTCCACATGCATGAGATAGTTCTTGCAAGAATTTGAGCACTTTCCTAAGTTCTGGTGCTCCCAGAAAGCATATACAAATGGGTGACTGATCCACACCGCAGTTAAGAAGCCGAGAATGCAACTCCTCGACTGCAAACTGTATAACCTTAGTAAGGTGACTAGCTGCAAGGTACTTGTGTTTAATAAGCAACTGGAATGACGATTGTATTTTTTCAAGTAGCTTTGTCCTTTCAATGTCTTCAGCCAATGGCCAGCTATCAGGATGGAAAAACCCCTTGAAAACTTGGTTTTGATCACATTCTCTGGTTACACCAGGGATCTTAGTATACTCCCTGCACTCCACGTTGGGATCATTGCAAGGATTCTCATATTTCTCTAGTCCAGATGACGAATCCCACACATCATCGGAGCAGTAATTGGAAGTGAAACAATCATCCAATAACTCAGTGTTGTTCTTTGGATGTGGTCTATCAACAAAGTTGGCAGCTAGTGAATTTGACTGCATTTCGACCATTCTGACTGCAGCGTCGACATCAAGTGCTTTCCAAGGAAATGTTAGAATCATTTCAGTCCACTCATTGTCTACAGTTGGAGGCAACATTTCCTGCAAATTGGGCAATAGGCTACCCATGTGTTCATGTACAACATGCTGCATGTGCAATTCAGGATCTGGAAATTTCTCATTGCATCGGCAACACATCCAAAATTTCCAACTGTTATTAGCTCGACCAAAGGATAAAGCTTCCGAAATGACTTCATATGGCAACCCATCTTTTAGTGATCTAAAATGGGCCTTAATATCTGATATTCCTATCTTGAGCAAGTCCTTCTTTGAATCCAAACTCATGGACTTCCAATAAGGATGAACACAATTTTTTCTCTCAGCAGAGGATACATTCCTCCTCACCTTTGCACTCTTCCTCCGTTCACCCGCACGCTGGCCAGATCCAGAAGAAACTTCTGAACCCTTATCCCCATCAGCTTGGGATTGAGATGACTCTAACTTCTGTTGCAACAGCCTTGCTGCAGCCACTTTAACTTCAATCTCCTTCTTCCGTTCCTCGTCTGTCTTGCTTGCCTTCTTAATTTCATTTGGCCTTCTTGCTTGAACTAACCTTACATCCATTGGGTCATCAGGAACCCTCCTAAGAGGAATGAGTCTAAACTTTTCCTCCCCATTTCCTAAATTCTTCATCCAAGATGAAATAGAGGCAATGTTGGACTTCTGAACCAAGGACCGGAGCTCATTCTGCACATGCCCAATCCTCGCATCACCTGTGGAAATTTTCTGCTGGCTCTCATCCTGCAAACTCTCTTTTCCTGGATCAACCGGATTCTCAACAGCCAAAGCCCGTTCACACTCTTGCACCACCTCTTCATAATCCTTCCCTTCATTAGCCGATTCATACAACAAATTTGCATAAAAATGGGCAAACTCAATTGAATTGGGCGACAACATCACTGCCTTCTTAGCCGAGTCAACTGCGTTCTTCAAATGCCTCTGCTTTGCATTGGGGTCATCAATGATGGAAGCAACCTTAACACATATAGTCCCTTGCACCCTATGAATCAGCGCCAGGTGAGTCGAATTCTCATGTTTCCCACACATCTCTTTCATCAGGCGTAGGGCTTTCTTATGGTTCCCCCGTCTGAGCGCAGTTAAGGCTTTCTCACACTCAACTTTTACAGTAGAGTAACCATCCGATTCAATCGCTAAAGGAACTTCATTCTTTCGTTGTACTAATTGAACAGATGAAGAATCCACACTTAAATTCTGTTCCGTAGAGAGTGAGCTAACCTCAACACCATCGCCGCCATCGTTACCGATTGGAGACAAAGGCGGGGGCGGAGGAGTATTAACAGCAGCAGTCACCGTCTTGGAGCGAGTAACGAAGTTCCGCTTCTTATGCCCCATGTATATACGTGTATCCAGCAGTTTAATTCAAAGAAAAAATCGGCCCTGATTTCATATGCATAGAGATATAGGGATAGGATATAGATACGGAGAGAGAAAGATGAGACTTACTTCAGAAGGGATACAAGAAACCGGCAAGTGTTTGAGTTCAAATCTCAAGGTTTCCGGCAACGGTGGTGGTTGGTGGTGTTGCAGCACACCCTTCGGCGTCTTGTGTATGAAGAGACTGATTCGCATTCTCTCTCTATCAAAGCCCATGTCTCCCTATATACATAACTCTTGCATACAAATTTCCTCATTGAACCATGAACCAATTTCTCAATTTGAGCCCTCAAGATTTATGTTTTGTCGAATTATCCCTTCAACTTTGAAACTTCTACCCGATAAGATGGTTTCAAGTTTGGTCAAATTTTATTACAATTTACCTCTAAGGCATCAAAATGATAAAATTTAAAACTCAGCATAAAATGAAATAACTTGAACAGGTAATCCAGGCACACGGAGGTTGTTTACATGTGAACATGATATATGCAAAAGTGTGTACAAACAAACACACACAAAAAAACATCAAAACATAAGTTAGGATGAAAGGTTACATAAAAAAGGAAACACCAAACATAAAGCATAGGACAAACAACTTCAATTATAGGAAGAAAATCTAATTAGTAGTGAGACGTCGGTACGRAGTTGCTACAAAAAAGGTCAACGAGGGGTGGGGGTAATAAAATGGTTGTGCTTCCAATGCCAATAAAAAGTAACTCATCCAATGGAACCCAGAAAAAAAAAGTACTTATTGGAGTAGTCAGCCCAGTAGAGGTTTTCTTAGCGAAAAAAGTCTATTCATGGATGAATTAGGGAGAAGCAAAACGAAATTAGGATTTGGCCGAAAAAGAAGAAATGCTATGAGATTGATGTGTAGCAAGCAAGTCACATAAGTAAAATTAATAGCACACAAGTAAGGTAGGAAAGAAAAACTAAGGAAATAATGTAATGGTTGTAAGGCCCTCGTAACCTACCTAACTGCCATAATTCTCCCTTCTCTTTGTCTCACTCCAAATTCCCCTCCTACATATATGTGAAAATCTCTACTCATAGTTTGTTAACCCATAGTTTTGTGTCTCTAGTAGCTTCCGTTAGAAGTCGTGTCTTTGGAAATGACTAAGGCCTCCATGTCTGCCTTATTATAGCTTTTTTGATTCGCCGGGTATGCCGGCTAAGAGAATCGCTTCTCGCTTTGTTTGCAAGAGTATAAGCAAGCCGTAGCATTTTGACCCTATATGAGATAGAACTCTTTCAATTCATGAGAGAAAGTGCTTTAGTAGCGATTTCCCTGTTCTAGTGCAATACGTAAGGAGAAGCACGAGCGGAGCGGTCTGGCTAAACGTGCATTCCAAATCCTACTTGACTTGCCCCTCCGTGTCACTCCCTTGACCGTCATGCTCTTTGCACTCCTCACCAAGGTCAGACTTTTACCTCCTGCGTAGATACCCAAACCACCATAACCTTTGTTATCTTAGTGTTAGGACTGAAAAATCATTATTAATTGTATTCGTCTTGAAAGTTAAATATAGTCTATAATTGTAAAAGTCAGCGTGTTTAACTTTTCTTATAGGAGTTTGACTTTGACTATGTTTAGTAGGTTTGACCATATAAATAGGTAGTTTGTCTTTGTAATTGAATAGAAGAGAGCTTATTTGTAAAATACTTTATGTAATAAGAGGTTTGACCAGAATTGTAAAGATTGACTTTTCCTCTCAATGTTCTTGATGTTCTTGAATGCAATATCTTAATCTGCCATTGTTGTGAAGTAAATTGAAGATTGATCAGTGATTTTAGGGACTCACAATTGGTATCAAAGCGGTTTGCAAGAAATCAGATGAAGAAATAAGAGATAAGTGAAGAATTTATTTTCTGATTTTTTTTTGTTCTTAGTGTTCTTTATTTTTTTTCTTTCTGTTTGATCCGATTTTTTTTAAAATATTGTGTTTTTTGTGTTAAAAACAGGATCAAAATGCTCGAAATTGAATTGTGAATCTTTGTTATTCACAAACTTTTGTGATTTGATCATTTTAAATCAAGATTTAATCGGATTTTGTGTTTTTAGATTTTTTTGTGTTCTTGATTTTTTTTCTTTAAACCAGTGTTTTGGTCACCGCTGAGGTAGTCCGGTAGGAGTTTTACACATGTGACACGAAGTGGTCACCGCTGAGGTAGTCCGACATAAGTTCTACACATGTGGGGTTTAGTCCCACCGCTGAGGTAGTTCGTAAGTATGCTCTACACATGTGGTTCGCTACCACCTCTGAGGTAGTTCGTGGGGCGTTGAAAATTGTTCAGGTTTAGTAGTGGCTCAACAAATTTATATCATGTGTATGACGTTGTTTTATTTTAAGATATTGCTCATAAATTTATAATTGAGATTGCTGCATTTGAAATCACAAATCATTTTGTGCATATAAAACATGTGAACTCACCAACTCTTGTAGTTGACACTTGTTTTGACGTGCTTTTTYARGGGTAAGAAAGGCTTATGGTGACACTTAAAAGAAGCCGTGTCACAATCATCACCTTCAAAAATTTCTTTTGTGTTTAATTTACAAACTTGTATTTGGGATTGTATACTTTGGTTATGATGTATTTAAATTTTAAAATGTATGGTTGTGTTATTTATACACTATTGCTATGAGACTCTACCTGCCATACCTTGCGTTTCCGCTTTAGCGAGGTGTGACAGTTTTTGATCCATTTTTTTTTAAAGTTTTTCTGTTTTTGTGTTTTTGATAGGTTTTAATCTGGTTTTAATTTTGAGTTTCTTATTTTTGTTGTTAAACCGTTCAATTCAAAAAGCCCAATCAAATTTTTTTGGCCCATCTTTGTTCATCCGGTTTAGATACCCATCAAACTAAACCGTTCAACTAAGCCGTACACATTGTTCTTATTCCTAAATCGAAGATGTACGAAGCATAAGCAATGACCGGAGTTTGTTCATCAAATTCATTCTTGAGCGGTGTAAGAGTTGAGCGGATAAGAGGTACACCGTAGAAGCCTTGACCGGTTTGTTCCTAAATCGAAGGATTGTTCGGTTTGTTTTCATCGCATCAATCGGCTTAGTATAAACTGTAACATCAGTTACGCTCTTTAAATAAAAGAAACTATTTATCCAAATAAATATTTCCATAAAACAGTCTCCAAGCATATACGGGATATATGTTATAAATTTCCACCAAAAGACAAAATAACATAGTCTGCAAAAGACGATTTTCAGTACTATAAGTCGGATCCATAAAATACAATTATATATACTCAAAAGTATTATATACCTAGATCCGACTCAAACGATACTCGTACAGCAGATCTAAACCGTCTAATCCTTCACCTGGGCAGCTATCGGCTTTCCTGAAAAGAAAGTTCATTYTAAAAGATTAAGCCACAAGGCTTAGTGAGATTATACCAAAGCTTATATTTATATATATTATAAATACAAATCAAATCATAAACGAAGCAGAACAAAATAGTCGTTTAATTAAGAATTTGATCGAAAAATAATCTGATAAAATTGTCCAAAACACTGTACAACCAGAGGGCCGCTGGTCTATACAACCAGAGGACCGATGGATAAACAGAGGGTCGAAGAATCAATACAAGCAGAGGATTGGTGGATCAATACAACCAGAGGATCGATGGATCAATACAACCAGA